GCTCATTTAAAACCATTCCATCTATGGAAGGTGTAAAACACGCATTTTGAGCCACTACTATTGGATAATTCTAAATGTTTCATTTTGCAAATTTTGCTGTCATTAACGATGAACTATGAAATATTAATTGAAATTGAACAAATTAAATACAAGCAATGTGTATATATGCACGTATGAATATCATTTGCTTTACCTTCTAACAGCAAATGTCCGCAAATGTAGGGCAGTCGTTACAAAAATACAATAATAAAATTCACCTAAAAGAAAATATAAAAGGTGTGATAATCTTGCGTTGCTTTAGGGAGATTCTTCACTTGAAATCTTCACTATGAGATTTTGATATTCCTTAGATTTTGTTTTATGTATCTATGCTGTAATTACCATCTCAAGATTTCAAACAAATCAAAGCATCACCGATTTTGGTTTAAAGAACTGTTGTCAATTTTGGAGTATGATGGAGTACTGTCATAAAACTCTACATTCCAAAAACTGTGGACTTATCCCTAATATGACCGTTTGTTTCACTGACATTTGACTATAAAGTAGTACCTGATTCTGATCTTACTCAGCTTGTCGAAGTTCGTCTGGGGGGTCGAAGAGCGATGCTTAAGGGGAAAAAATGCAATTTCTAAAACTTTATTCAGCAGTAGTTATGAATGATCCACCATGCACCACGAAAGCTACAGTTATATTGTAAATAAAGGGCCCATAATAATATTCTTTGCTTAGAATCATTTGGTGTACGTACGCATAACACTGAAAGTGTTAAAATCTGATTAGTTTGTTTTCTAGTGGAGACTTCCCTTAACTAGTACCACTTTCTTTAAGGTTACAGAAAACTTTTTTTAGGGTGAACATTCCTAGACTAATGAATCATTTAAATTTTCGTGTATTCAATAATAAAAAAGAATATCCAAGCCAACTCCTGACTCTTTAGATATAATAAAGTAACATAATAAACCAGTTATATTAACTTTATAATGATTCCAAAAATATAAAAAGGCGAAACAAATTTTGTTACAGGATTCAAATTGGCGTCCCGAGGCGGATTCGAGACGCTTGTTCGCACAAGATTCGGTTGGATATTAGTAAGATTTGTCTTTAATATATTTCCCCACTTACTATTACTTTTTTAAATCTCCCACAGAACCCAAAATATAGATTTCCATAAATTACAGCAACCACGGAAGCGTGACGTCACTGTTTAACGCCTTAGGTACAAATCTTTGAGTTTTCCAAACAGCAGACGAATTTTGGTAAAAGTGGCGGGCTTCCTTCAGGTGCGCATTCTTATTTTCTCGGCCGTTTATTTGTACATAGATTATTTGATTTTCTGTTGCGCAGTTTATTGTGCTATTTCCCGAGTACTGTATATGTGACTTCTATAAATTTATTGTAAAGCTTACGAGGTAAATGCCGAGCAAAGCGTGATGCTCTGCATAAGCGTTTGGTCTGCACCGGTTCGTGTGATTTATGCCGTGCTGTTGTTGGGTCTCGTTATTCTCACTCAGTCATTTTGAGCTTTTTCTGAATTTTTGACCCACGGCAATTAAGGTTTTTCCTATCTTAGCCTACAATTTTCAGTTCTTTCTTTCTTTTTTGACAACAGATATGCTCGAGTTATGAGTGTGCTAACATCATACTTCCCTTGCAACAGGACCGTATCATGGTGTCTCTTACCAGCATGCTCGTGTTGGCCACCTTCTTCACCCAGACGAGCGCCTCAATCCCGAGAACGTCGTACCTGAAGCTCATCGACGCCTGGTACGTGGCCCTCATCTGTAAGAACTTCCTGGTGATCGTGTCCCTCGTCATTGTCGAGAACCTCCGCCTGATGGATGGCGTGGGTGGTACCTTGACGAAAGTGATGCCGATGGGACAGATGAAGATCGAGAGTCCTTCAAAGCAAAGGCTCTATCAGAGAGTCAACTTTGGCCTCAAGATCGCATTTCCGATCCTGCTGGCGATGATCTTAGGGGCGTTCTTCTCTTTCTGGACCACGGATTGAGGCTGTTTGTTGGGCGCTTTGTCTTTATTTTATCAACAGTTCTAAATTATTGCGACTTTAGAGGTATTCTTAATTACTGTAATCATGAAAACCTTTTTTCTAATCCTGTTAAAAGTGCGTGTACCCCTGTTTACAGAAATAAGGATTCGTACAAACTTTCTGCCTGAAATTGTCCTCAGTAACGTGGGAATCAGTTTGGTTCTACATTAATAAACCTTCAACCGAATCTTTGAAAGTATGGCAGTATCTAAAAAAAAATGTATGAAAAGTAATCAATAAAATGACATCATCATAAGAATTTACTAAGGTAATGGGGCTCAGTTATACATTACAGAGCATACTGACACATTTGTAATTCTCCGATTCACTTTAATCTTGAGGCAATTCAGTACACTGCACACATACCTTATTAGACGTTAAACAGTCTACTGTATAAATGAAAAATGACATCTATTTAGAATTATGATATATTATTAACACCCTTGCCTGACTAGCAATTAAATTCTTGCCGAATGATCGAGCCATTATATCGGATCTCAATTCACCGATCGCCATGTTTCTGTATACCACAACCAGGTTCACGTATGATACTTCATGGCTCTCCTTTTTTTTACCATGGAGATAAAATACATGGAATATATGACATCGTTAAGAATAAAACTTGATATCCAGTTTATCTTTCAATCACCAATAAAATAATGTGTTAAATCCATGATGATCATCATGGTATTGATAATACCGGTAATACAATACCGTTCATATAACTAACTAAATTGAAACTCTAAACATTACTAGCATTAATAGTTAATCATCTCTAATATAATTCAAAAGTAACACGTTCTCATTTGAACAGTTTGAAGTTTGGGATGATATGGTTTCTTTAAAGATATAATCTCTTCATGAATACCGGCATATTTTTCCCAAGAGAAATGGAATGAAAGCCCTCCATGATGCAATAATTTCTTAGAAGTTGGTAACAGAAAAGATCTATCAATGAATAATTCCAAAACTGCTCTTCAATATCATAATGAATTAATTTTAATAATTACTGTCTACTTGATACATACATATATGCCTACATTATCACATTATCACCTTTTACTCCTTAGTCTGGTTGACCCAAGGTCAATGACTTCCGGGTAATATATGTATACATGCATATATATATATATATATATATATATATATATATATATATATATATATATATATATATATATATATATATATATATATATATATATATATATATATATATATATATATATATATATATATGTGTGTGTGTGTGTGTGTGTGTGTGTGTGTGTGTGTGTGTGTGTGTGTGTGTGTGTGTGTGTGTGTGTGTGTGTGTGTGTATGTGTGTGTGTGTGTGTGTGTGTGTGTGTGTGTGTGTGTGTGTGTGTGTGTGTGTGTGTGTGTGTGTGTGTGTGTGTGTGTGTGTGTGTGTGTGTGTGTGTGTGTGTGTGTGTGTGTGTGTGTGTGTGTGTGTGTGTGTGTGTGTGTGTGTGTGTGTGTGTGTGTGTGTGTGTGTGTGTGTGTGTGTGTGTGTGTGTGTGTGTGTGTGTGTGTGTGTACTGTGTGTGTGTGTGTGTGTGTGTGTGTGTGTGTGTGTGTGTGTGTGTGTGTGTGTGTGTGTGTGTGTGTGTGTGTGTGTGTGCTTTGCCGTGTGTGTGCGCGTGTATTTCAAAATCAATGCCAGGTAGTAAGGTTAAATGGTATTGTCTCTCTTCATTTTGTACCTGCTAAACAATGTGTTAACTATTAGCATTAAGATCTTATTTGCTTTTTGTAATGTCTAAGCTACATTTGTCCCCTTTCACAGTTGCAGAGCTGCACTATCCATATGAAACAGGAAATATCAAATTGATATTTATTTAGTTCTCTTGGTTTCTGGACTTTAGGACAACAGTACTACAATGTAGATTTTATTCCTGTTTTTTGTTAGTGTATTTGCCATCATTTATCTGTCATACATTTTACTCAAAGAAACTAGGGCTTTAGGTTCATAACTTTTAACAGTAAAAATGTGAATCACGCTTGTTTAAGTTTAGTTGTAAGTGCTCTTTTACAACATGGGTATTCTCTTAGGATGGCCCTAACATGAACCACTCATAGAGCTCTAGCTTAAACTTTCACCAAGTAACCAAGTAAAGGCACAGCTCAACTGGCCTTGTCTTCTTGTAGGACCTGATTTGTGTCTGAGTACCCAGCCAGGCTTAGTGTTTCAACTATGAAAAGCACCACAGTAATGGACTACACATGCCTCTTGCTTGAATAACACCATGCATAGTACTTCTCATTTGAACAACATGGAGCACGAAGGCTTATTCCGTTCCACCATAGTTTTGTGTTTCATGGCATTTATTTTTTTTTTAAAGAAAGAAGTATGGAAACTGATTTACTGATTCAGAATTATTAATGCTAGTCTGATGGGCCATTGACATGAGTTTAGATTCTCAGTTTTGAAATAGCCATTCCTTGTTTTTGGTAATAAAAAACGAAGTTTGTGATAATTAACTAAATGTTTTATATAAAATCTCTAATATACTTTTGTTAACTTTATATGTATTGATAATTTCTTTAAGTGACCCTGGAAAGCATGGAGATACCCAAGGAGAAACAAGCTCTAGGTCAATTTATTGCTAGCACCAGCTGAACTGCACCTTAAGTAACCAGTCATGGATATATTTTTTGAATTATAGACAATAGCTTTTAACCACCCTGGAAAGCATGGAGATACCCAAGGAGAAACAAGCTCTAGGTCAATTTATTGCTAGCACCAGCTGAACTGCACCTTAAGTAACCAGTCATGGGTATTCTACTAAAAAGTCTGCATGATGTCAGCTATTGTGTTCAATTTCACTTTCTGTCATAAAGGATCAATTTCTGAATTCTGCAGCACTTTAAAACAGATACATTCCATCCACTTTCCTTTAATCCTTTTGCATTTAACCACTTGTTATTTCAGGAGGATAATGAAAACGATACATCATGATAAAAAGTTCTTATTATTTACAAATTTTTGCAACAAAATGTAGTCTGTGAGTCATACATGCAATAGGGGTAAACAAGATTTTTTTTTCCTTTTTTTGAAGAGAAGAGTACATGGAGGATGGTATGGCATATACAGAAGCAAGAGGATGGGAATGCTGAAAGAGTAGAGAATGTAAGAAGGACTGAAAGGTGCCACTAAGAAGGGTTGGGATTTTAAAGATAGGAGAGAGAGAAGTTGTATGTGGAGTACATGGGAATTCCACACAGTAACACCAGTTAATATCATTGCTGGTTGCAGTTTCAGCTGCATGCTATCAAAATCATAGTCACACACTTACCACTCATGCAGATACCCGATATTTATTACAGCCACAAGGCATTATGAAAAATGGTAACTATGTTACCACCAAAAGCAGTCATATTAACCAGAAGCTACTGTACTTATAACTTATGGGATGATAAAATACAGAACAGGATGGAAGAGAATGCCTTTTAAATAATGGGAGAATATGAAAAAAATAGAAAAAACATCTTTGCATCATACCAACTATATAATCATCTACTGCAGGTGCCAAGAACAATGAAGTCTCACATGCTAAACTAATGAATTTTAAAAGAAGGAATGAAAGATGTGTTAAGTTAGTAATGATATAAGGCTGGAGGTGAGTATAACATTTGTTATCAAGACTGAGAGGCATATACCCTAGCATGAATAACAAGAACTAGAAAAGGCACATGCATTCTGTTAAAAAAACATAAAATCTTGGCAAAACTTCATGATGCAAAGATGTCTTCTGTGAGGGGGTTCATAAAGATTACAAAATGCCATGTGAAATGCAGCTGCTAAGGTTCAGCCAATAGAAAGCCTATACAAGATTCTTTTCCTTTTAGGGTATTTTGTTGTGCAGACTTCCAAAGCTGTCAGTGTTGAAAAAAATATATATATGATACAAACAGTATAGAACTGCTAGTCAAATGGTTAATATAGTGAAGTCTATCAATATAAATGTAACAGACAAGAAAATCTGTTAGATTCACGAACCTCACACATCTGCAAATACAACATAAAGAAAATGAACCTTGTTCTGAGGCTACTACAGGCTTAGACTGGCAGAAAGCAGTAGGTTCCTTGTTGGTTTAAGAACCTTTATAGCAGCAACTTTTCCACAGTCAAACCTCATATTCCATTTTGAAATGAGTACTTACACTGTTTCCATAAATTCTTTTCTTTGATTATCTTAAAGAGGTATGGTTTACATCCAGTTTATACAAATCAAACAAGTTTCGCTACTGGTAAAAAGCGCCGCGAGGAGAGGTTTGTCTGTAGGTGGTTGATGACAGCAATGATGTACAAGAATTAATCTAGGAATTGAGGAGAGTGGAGGAAGGACTCAGGGTTTGTACATGAGAGTGTGATGGAGGCAGCAAGAAAGATATTAAAGATATTCACATAGTTAAACTCTGATAATGCTCTCAGAGAAATAAATTCATCCCTTCTAATGGGAAAACTGTTAATCACAGCATTTGGGGCAAAACTCTGAAGATGCACAAGAAGTTGAAACCATCGACAGGGCGGCAACTCTTGAGTCCTGGTGGGCTAACGGAACTAAAAACTTTTGACTAAAGCAGGAGAAGGAACCACTCGATTGTTTCCCTCAAGTGCTTCTCAAGAATACTGCCCATGAACTTGGAGAAAAAGTGAGGCAGAGTAAGAATGAGGCGCTTGTGTGTGTGAGGGGGAACAAAATTCTAAAACATTACTGAAGTTTCTACAGCCAACTTGCTATTACATACACTGACAAAAGTACCATTACAGTGACTTAAAGTACTGTGAATATGGAGTTTTAATCCACAACAAATCGTTTTAGAATTTTGTCAGAGAGATGAGTTGGTTGGTGACCTTGTTATGCTATGTGCATCTAAATTTTGTACTCATTGCCTTTTAATTTTAAATCTGTAAGATACAATGTTTTTGTTGTTGTTCTTCATGAAGTATGCATGATTGCACAATTATATGCATCTAAATGTATTCATGTCATTTCCCTGTGTTTGTATATGTGAACATGCTTGTTTATATATTTTCTTTATTCTAGATGTACTTCTGTATGTCTGTATTTTCAAAATATATGTATGTGATCTATATTGCTCTTACTTTACTTCCCATCTAATAAAATTATATCATCTGTTGTTAGTTTACTTTAGAATTCACATCAAAAGTATACGACACTACTGCAAGAGATAATGTCTTGCTATAATTTTATGTAGATAAAACCTATCTGTAATGGAACAGAGTCATTTAGTACCTAAAATAATTTGTTCAGTCATTCTACATTTCTTGTTATAATTCAAACACAAACAATAAGACAGAGAATATGGATTACAATCAATCTACACTCAAAGTGGCAGACATATTAAATCTAAAAGAATATGAATTTCATTTCAAATACAGAGTACAACAGAATATAATTAATAAAATGTAAAAAGGCCCAATATAAAAAATAAAAAACATAAACAAGAGCAACACAATGAAGCACATAAATGAGGGGGAAATTGAACAATCATTTTAGGTACATATTGGATGTGGAGCTTTAGACCTCCTGCCTGTGTGCCTTAGTTTACAAGTTGACAGGGCAAAGTAGGATCAAAAGATGCATACCTATAAACATTTTTTTGTTTTGTTTTTAAGATAATGCATGTATTTTGTTTAACCACATACAAGATTATCATCATTCAGACACTCAACAGGGAAACCAAAAAATGATTCTCAAACACCATTAGGTTAAAAAGTATTATTCAACCCAGCCTCACAACTCAAGGATCGGCAACACTCAAAGAGAATGTGAAGACATTACATAATCCTTACAAAAAGAAGAAAATTTGAAAAGAAAACAAAGAAAAGAAAAGAAAAAAAAACACTATGGTAGTAATATCACACTATCTTGTGCTATAATAAGTTGGATTGTTGGTGAACTGAGTTACTGCTGTATAGTGTTGCAGAGAGAACAATTTGACATGTAGTGTTTTGATCATGTTATTCATTAGACCTTAAGCAAATGAAAATTACTATGATAATCCCCTTTTCTACTAGAGTCTGTGTATGAATCCTGAGGATGAATGATTCTATATAAAATATAATTAGAACTTAGGAGCTACAGGATTACCATTACGAATTTGGCCTTTGAGTTGTCTGCACATATGTAGTGTATCATCAGTACATATGAAGTTATCTCAAAATGAATAGCTCTTTTGAAAGAGGAAAACAGAAGTATTTTATTGAGGGTTTATGGTGTGCATGCTACTAAAGCCTACTGAAGTATTCTTGGTAATACTATATATGTTTAGTGATAAAAAGTTTGTTTTTAATATCTACAAACATCCCATAGGGTTAGGATTCAACTGTAAATTATACCTCACAGTTCGAATAGAACATCTTTAAGATCTTCGTACTAAACCGAAGTTTCCTGGATGCAGCTGATATTGCAAAACATAAACAAGTCTTTTTTCTTCTATACAATACTTCCTCAATCAAACTTATGCAGAGTTACCTTATTAACAAGTACCTTGGGTAAGTGCAAAAAAATACTCTTTGTTGCAATTAACATTTCCACAAGAATATGCAGGAACAGCTCATCTTATACAGAGATATTCAGTATTGAATGCCCATAATTAAAAGAAAAAAAAAAAGGCTAAACTAGGCATTTCAAAAAAGAAAGTTAATAACATAGTATTTACATACAAAACTGTAAGCAAATGAAGGATAACACAAATAAAACAGGACAGGTAAACTACAAGTGGTTTTGTAGTATCTTAAAAACTATGTAGGTGTACAGCAAATTACAAATGAAACTGACAGGAATAATAATGGAAAGCAGGAGATCCAAAAGCTATAATACAACACGAGCAAACTGCGGTGACCAAATTGTAGAGTGTCATACAAAGCTGAGTATGAGAATCTTGTGACTTTAATCTACATTTTGATTGAATGCCTCACTGTCTGCTGGTTTAAATTCCTCACTCAGCAAGGAAGCCAAATATTTCTGATAAGTACTCAGTGGTACCATTTATCTCATCCTTTCTATTACTCCTCAATTCTGGCCTTACAACAAAGAGTATGTGAACAATGGCTAGTACCTTAGCTGGGTCAACCTGCAGATGGAAATTTTGCAATACACAAAAAATGTGTAAAATGAACTCTGTTAAATTACGTCACTGTAGAACTTATATACTTAACAATAGCAAATTAACAAATGTAAAATGTATATATAACATAAAGTAAAGTTTGACATAACATCAGCTGAGCATTCTTAAAAGTCTTGAGAAGCAAGTGATATTCTCTTTGTGATGTACACTTGCAAAGTCTTTATAGAATAAGAATATATTGGTGTAGAAATTGATGCAATTTCACTATTAGGAAGGGTACAACAACAACAACTGCAATGATGAATGCTTTTGGTCTTAAAAGTTCATATTCATTACATAAAAAAGGTACAGTAATACCATAAAGCTTACCATGGTCAATTCTCAAAGCCTGGTTAATACTCTACTATCACATTTTTGAATCAGGAGTTTAATCAAATGGCAAAAGTTTAGATGGTTCAAAATGTGATTATGAGACCTCTATCCCAAAACAGTAGAACAAAAATCTAACTGATAATATCCATTACTAACTGCTCTGTTTCTGCACAAATCTTATTCTTTTATCACTTTACTATTAGGATTATTCAGAAAAATTGTCATATAAAAATTTGAACTTCGTCCAACTTCAAATGTTAGATGTAAAATAACTTTGCATTATTGGGCTGATTAAAATGCAAAGTGAACAACTATGGAATATAAAATGGTAAACCTAAGAAACAGTTCCAAGCTACAAAGTGAAAATATTAAAAACTAGTGTAATAAACTAGTGTAATATCCAACACTACAGTGGTTAAAAGGCAGTTTAAGAACAACTTGGGCGAAGGATAATGTGCCGATCCTTAGTGTACAACCAACTATATTTACACTGCTATTTATAACGTCCAGCCCGTACAATTTCCACAGCATCTCTGCCTAAGGCTCAGGGGCAGAACTCTTAAACATCATTCATAGAGAAGTTGAGTGGCACAATATGAGCCAATGCAAATGAACATTATCATTTATGGGATTTGGGTTTTCCACAATCAATCACAGTGCTCTCAATAAACCAAACTGGTCCAAAAAGTCTGTAAAGTACAGAATTACAAGAGGTGTGGAAAAAAAGAGAGAGAGAAAAAAAACAAAATTTCTGGTCAGTACCATATGCCTTCAGTTGATTGTGGGTATCCAGTTCTCATGTATGATAATCTCATAGGACAGCTCTAATAATGGCCCCATGGCTAGGACTTCTACTCTCTTCTTTGATAAGGGGTTATTTGTGTAAGGCAGCTGGGGGGTTAGGTGAGGGGATAAACAGATGTATTATGCTTCAGAAGGGCTAGTAGGTGACACTGATTTTGCAACCTCAAAATTGGACTATCACAATGTACAGTTCAGGAGAATCCCAACTTTTATGCATATGGCTTTGAGACAACCACTGCCCACAATATGTTTTCTCCAAGTAGGCAGAATGGTAGAGACTTTTTTAAGAATTCTCTAGTTAACTTATCATAACCAAGAGTCATTTTTCCATTACTGCCTCAACCACAAAATACTAGAAGGTGCCAGAG